CCCCCCCCCCCCCCCCCCCCCCCCCCCCCCCCCCCCCGCCCCCCCCGCCCGCCCCCCCCATGTGGGGGAGATCCTTTTAGGATTTTGATAAAAAACTTGGTCAAACACCCACATTTGTCCAGCTTTTCAAGCGCTTTTGAATGTATTGCTCGAAAACATTCTGCCGTTCATATGAACTGAGCTGTTAAAGTGTGAAGGAGACGCACTGAATCAAAGTTTTGAAGTTAAATTCGGTAGTCTAGTACACGGCAAGAAAATTTGTGTCCAAAAACGCGTCCACGAAAAAGTATACTAAAAAAAGCGACGACAAAAATAAGTCCACAAAAATTCGTCAAAGCATAGTATTTAAGTGCATACTGCACAGATGACTCGTTTCACTGCACTAGCTTATCTCGGAAACGACTGATATGTTGCGATGGTGAATCGGTCCAACAGATCAGGCGTGCTTCCATCATATAGTGCGTTTCAAAGCTGAGTAAAATATTATTTAGAAATCTTTTCAAATTTTGCTTTTCCATGTAAAAAGAAACAACGCAAAGAAACGAAAAAATTCATCCAGAAAAGAAAAACGTCTAACAAAAAAGCATAAAGCATACCAAGATGTGACGAAAATACCGCCCACTAAAAAGCCTCAACTTTTGGACGCTTTTTTTTGCCCTGTAGTCCAGTATTCCGTACATAACACGACAAAAAACCTGGTATCTCAGCAACCAAAGGTCGTGGAGAGCGGTCTGACCGCTCATTTTACTCAAAACTGAGTAGGCTGTCGAATGGCAGATTCAAGGAACTTTGATTGGTATAGAAAATGGCAAGATGATTATCAGACCCTATTTAAACTAGCCATGCACCCGTTATAACTGACCATTTTTCTGCAACGAATTGTATGAAGTGTACGCATATTAAAAACTTTTTTTTAACAACTGGGTTTTGTAGAGCCGACATTTTTCTACAAGAAACCTTCATATTATCTATTTCTGCCGTAATTACTTTTCGACGACGAGCCTTAAATCGGCTATAACCGATCATGGGACTTTCAAGAAATCTTCTTTTTATAAGTACCCGATCAAGCCAACGAATACTCTCAACTTATAGTAAAATGTTTGCTTTACAAAACCCAGTTGTTAGAAAAAGTTTAGAAAATCGATTTTCGCTGGGAAAATATTTTTTCCAAAAATACACACAATTTCAGTCGGTTATAAACGGTGCACGCTTAATTTAAACATGATTTTCCGCTTTGCGTTAACACAGATATAGTGTTTATAGAAAAAGGAAAAAATGTTAAAAGTCTCGGTAAAATTCCCACAACAGTTAAGAATTTTGTTAATTGTACCAAGTAAAAATCTTATGTTTTACTGGCGATTATATGAAAAACAGAAGATTTGCTATCACTTTCGATAAAAACCTCGCTAAGTCTGTGTCGCCCAAACACATCTCAAGTTCTATCTCTCCATGATGTTGAAACTTTTATAGAGTAATATTTTTTCATCCCATACATGGGTCTTCTATTTAAAAAGGGTTTCAACTTACGTACATAAAATCAATGTAAACGCGGTACACTCGTGGGAAAAGATACAATATCAAGTCATGAGATTCTATAGTTCGTGAATGGCATAAGTGATGGTCTTTTCTATCAGTGCTGTATCACTACTTTACATTGCTAAGAATGCCATCGTATTAATTCAGGCAGTGTACCATTTCATAGTACAACAAGCACTAGTTATTCTCAACGAAGTGGAGGTGGACAACAACCTCATACCTCAAATAAAAAATCACTGACACAAAAGTATTTTCTTTGGCTTCAACCGTGTGAAATTTGGTGTTTATTACGAAAAAAGACGCAGTATGGTTCTACTTTATATGATTGCGTTAAATCAGCACTAGAGAATCCAGATTCTTCTATTGGTCTGTATGCTCCAGATCCAGAGTGCTATGATGTATTTCGTTGTCTGTTTTGGCCGGTTATTATGGACTATCATAAAGTTGACGTTCGAACTTTGACATTTAAACATAACTTTGGAAATCCCGATGATCTGCCTGATTTATCATCGCAATTGAACGAAATGATTGTATCCACACGAGCTAGAGTTGGACGAACAATAGCCGGTTTCCCGATGACGGCTAAATTGACAGTTGATCAGCGACTTGAATTAGAAGATAGAATAAAAAGTGCTCTACAAGATTTGGATGGTGATTTAGCTGGTGAATATAAATCATTAAAAGATATAAGTGAAAATGAACAAGCACAATTAAGAGAAAAGCATATTCTATTTCAAGTAATTAGCTAAACATAGAGTCAAATGTACCAAATTATTGTGGAGAAAAAAAAGCGCTTTCTTAGAAATTCCTTCAGTTCAAAAATATCTTGTCAGAGCAGCACTGATTGAAATGGTAGACTCTTTCGAGATGAGAAGAAACTAAAGTATCTCTAGAGTTTGCTTTTAACCCTTGACGGCTGTTCTCAATTTGTGACTTCAATACCAAAGCGCAAAAATTCACTTATAAGTAATTTTTTTCAAAAACAAGTTGAAAAAGTTATTTTATCCAACTTGTTTTACTGAAAAGTGCTCATAAATGAATACTTACCCTTTCATTTTTACATGGGGAACTGTCCACAGGTTTAACCGAACCTGTGGACAGTTGTCAAGCATTAAGAAATTACCGCGCTTTCCTGTCATCCTCGTGTACGTCCCCACGAGGGAAGAATTACAATCCACGAGTTAGTTAAGTCCTTCGTTGGACGCTAAACAGTCATCGGTGCATAAGCTGCTAAGGAGGAATGGGATTAAGGAAAAGGTGAAATTTCTAGCTTTGAACCCCTCTATTTTTTTTGGAATTGTTATGGAGAAGTTTTACGAAATATCATCTACATTTTAAAAAGATATTTGATAGATTAGCGACTGATGTATTTGTAATAATCCCACGCCATTGAAAAGCCCTAGTGTTTAAATTTCATACGCCTAATCTATTATCCAGGAATCCAACGATCGACACTTAGAAAGTGCTGGTGGTTATTTAAATTGGCCAGTAGGCCGTGGTGTCTACGTAAGCCGTGATGAAAATTTTATTGTTTGGGTATGTGAAGAAGACCATATTCGCATTATTTCATTATCGAATCATGCCAATATGCGTGAAGTCTACGGTCGTCTGACACGTGCAGTCGAAACATTAAATAAAAGATTAGATTTTGTTCAGCATCAACGTTTAGGTTTTCTTACATTCTGTCCGACAAACATTGGCACAGCATTGCGTGCAAGTGTTCATGTGTGCATACCACGTTTGGAAAAAAGTGGTGAATTAAACGAATTCGCTAATAAATTTAATATTCAAGTACGAGGAACGGGTGGTGAACACACAGAAGCCAAAGGAAGTATATATGATTTATCCAACAGTGTTCGATTAGGAAAAAGTGAGAAAGATTTGATCATGGAAATGTGGCGGGGTATCGAAGCGATATTAGAAAGAGAAGCGAAGAGTCAGTAGTTGAAACACATGAAAGAGGAGCTTAATTTTATTATAAAAAATAGTATATGAACCAAAGCTACAAGAATTTTTGCTTATTGTTAGTATTTATATCGGAGCGTCTAGTTTGTTTATCAATTCCTGTATTTCATCCAATCTTTTTCGTGTTTGATTAATACATATGAATTTCGATGATAACCTCAAATTGTATGCCAAAAATACCTCGATACATTAGGCTAAAAAGAGAAAATGCGTACACTAACAACGACATGTACGTGTGCACTGGATTTTCCCGAACACAGTTCATTTGTGCAGCACTTTTCCTTGTACAATGTGCGCAAATACCAAAAAAACACATATATTTGAAATACGAAAAGTGAAGAAACTTTGCTACTATCGTTTTTTTCCTCAAAACAAAAGATCTAGAATCGTTCTTCTCTAAAATAACAGCAATGATTCATACGTAACAGAGATGGACTCGGTTCGTGTTTTTTTTGAAACCAAACCGAACTGGACCAAAAAAGTTTCAAAACGAACCGAACCGAATCAAACCGATCGAGTTTTCAAAACTTTCAAACCGAACCCAACAATTTTCGAATAATTTGATATCTTTTCGTACCCACAATTTTGTGCATACATGTTAAAGCGAATGTTAAACTGACTAAATTAAGAACATTTATTTTTCGCGCAGTAGCACTTTTACAGATATTCTTTTTCAACATCCAAATAAAAAGTAGCTGAGGACGAGCCTTAGCGAGTAAGAAATTTCTCGAACCGAACCGATTTCGGTTCGGTTCAGCCCAAATTGAATCGATCCCACCTCTGATACATAATATCCATAAGTTTAGATTGGTTTTTTAGACTGTAAGCTGATGACAAGTCTCTGACTGAAAACCTCACTGCAGTCATTTTCTGTTAGCATTGATCAAGATCGACATACAATTACTCCTCTTTCAGACCGGTTTTTATGAAGAGATTAAACTTCCAAAATGGAAGACAATTTCAGCTCATTGTGCGTTACAACGTTTTTGATGATCGTTAGGGTCAACGTTAGCAAGGAAAGCGTTATGCTATATTATCCACTCCATCGACTATTACATAGTTTTGTGCTATTGATGCCTGGTTATTCTTTCCAATACATCCCATATTTGATCGTTGCAACATGTTTTGACTAAATGCAGTTTATGGACTTTCAGACAGCTCAATGTGAATTGACTGATTGAAATCGTGCAAATTTTCTTCAGTTTTATAATAAATTTCTTTCAACGTTTCGTTGTTGTTTTAGATGGTGTATGCGGATTGATTCAACTTTAGTTTGAAGAAAGTAAGTGAAATATAGTATAGATTTATTGATTTTATCATAATAAACGAACAGAGTATCAGTTTCGTTTCAGAATGTAGTTTATAAGTAGAACTTGCCTTTAACTATCAATTTATAAGATTTAGAATAGGGATATGCTCTACGAGAGCTGATGTACTTTAGTATTACTCTGTAGTGTCTTTGTAATATTTACACTGGTGTACTTGCGTTCTAGTTCAATTTATTTTGTACTAAATATTGTCTCTAGATCAACAGATATATTAGAAAACTAATTCAATTCTCAGTATAGCTAAGAGCACACTCACATCAAACAAAGAAGAAAATGGACGGATTTTGTTACATACTTATTCATTCATTAAATTAACATGAAAAATATTTCTCTCTACCACACAAATATTCTAACCAAAATACCACACACACACACATACATATACTCATATTCAATTCAAAACAAAAAACGAAGAGAATAATGGCACGAATTATGATATTCTTTTTAAAAAAGGATACACATGTACACAAGACTCATATAAAATATAACTGAGATTCAAAAAATTATAAACAATAGCTCAGTTCAGAAAAAGGTAGAACAGTTATACAAGCAGCAAAAAGCATTAGATAATGGATAAAATAAAAATTTCATTAGAATATTTTTTGAATTCAGTTGACTCATCTCACTTGCTTAGAAAATCATTCAGATAAACTGATCTCATTCGTTAGGGTAATTTTAAGTAATTAGGAAAGTGCTAGAGAGTACCAAAAACGGTGGAAAAAAACGAGTAATGCTAATCATTTGAAAAAATGTTGGTCTCTTAGAGACTCGCTGAAATATTGCTCAATTTACTGAGAAAAAAATAAGGAACAGCTTTACTAAATTATCACACACTTCTTATCTATTTAAAGAAGTTTTGGTAATTTTCTTATTTGACTAAGATCAAGTATTTTCCCTCTATTTGAGCTGGACGGAGTTTGTTGCATTATTTTTGGTTCTGTTTTATTTACACTCGACGTGCTATGATGATTTTTAATTTTTTCCACATAATCGTCATCATCAGATGTTGAATCAGCATTTAATGGTGTTTTATTCAAACTACTATTGTCTGATAATTGACTCAAATACTGATTTTGATGTAAAAGACCGTATTTTTCAAGATATTTTTGTGTGGCGAATGATAAACCTTTATCAAAGGGTTGTTGTTGTTGTTGCTGTTCATTTGGTGCGTAATGATATTGTTGTTGTTGTGTTTGGCGTTGATTTGAATATTGAACTAATTGATCATCTTCTAAATACTTCATTGCTAATGATCTAACTTCTAAACTTAAATCATTCTCATTGGTTGGTGTTGATGGTTGTGTGGATTGCTGCTGTTGTTGATACAATGTTGTACTTTGCTGATTGATTATTTGCATTTGTAAACGTGATTGGTGATCGACTGTAAAACTGATACCAGTTGTTGATGTTACATTTATATTACTACCACTGTTCAAACGTCGTTGTCTGCTTGGTGATGTGGCAACAAGACCAGCTGTGTTATTACTATTTTGTATGTCATTTGCTAATTGAGCCATTTTTTCTGCTTGTTTACTACTTTCTTCTTCGATAGTTTTTATTAACGTTGTATCTACTGACTTTGACATTGTTGTTGTACTATCGTTATTTAATTCAATAATTTGTCGCTGTTGTGCCATGTATTGGAAAAACGGTTTTAGAATATTCACAGGATTTATTTCTTCAGTTATTTCAGATTGTTCGTCATCATTATTATCTGTTTTCTGATGGTGTTCTTTACTGATGCTGTTGTTCACGGGGGATAATAATTTCAATTGTTGCTCGTTATTAGATGTGTGTGGCAAGAACTGATTAATTGAATCAAAAGAGCGACGAAATGGTGTTGTTAAATTATTTGATCGTTGTTGGCAAAGACCAAAATCAGTGGACTTACGTAGAGATAAATAGTCAACAACCGGTTGTTGCTCGTGTCTTGATAGACTGGGTGAAGTATTAGCACAGTTCTGCTAAAATGGAAGAAGTACATGTCACATTATTACCAATTTAGGTTGATGAATATTCCATCTAGCGGCGCAAATGTTTTTCAAATTAAGAAGTCAATATAGTTAATATCAGATAAGTCTTCTAGAAAGTAAATTTGTATTCTAAGCTATTTGTTATCAATGCTGAAAAAAAAGAATCGAAAAGTATTTTCAATGGGCAATGAGTACATAAATTCTACATTAAACTAACGGCCTGTATAAGAAATCAGAGGCTGAATTGGAAGCACCACTTATTTTGAGCTCACACCGTTTCGGAGGCAAACCCACGCTGTTTATGAAATAAAGTAAGAATTAAAAGTTTAGATCACTTTGTATTCTTCACTCTTTTTGGTCGTTCGCCATTGCCAGCAGAAATTTGACAAGTGGTTTGAGTAGATGAAAGAGTATCAATCAGAAGCGGTTGGTGTGCATGAAAAATTTTATCGAAATTGTATCTAATCCAAATGATAGAAAACCATGTCCCTGAATACAATCAAGAAGTTTTTTGCCAACAACTCAGCTGTATAAGGAAAACATTTCTAGACGAAACGAAACGTCTCGCAGTTCTGCGCGAAGATTTTTTATCAAATTGCATTTAATTTGCGAAAGAGGTAGTCTGATAGTCCTTTTTGTTGATGTTACTCGTATTAGTCATCGGAGGCCTCTCATAAACCGAATGTTGTTTGATGAAAAATGCTATTGAGAGCTGAGAACTGTTTACAGAAATCTTCCGATCAAATTGAGGGTCTAATGCGAGTTTTCTTCAAGAATTTTGTTTTTAAGATTTCGTATGGGTGAAACTGCAATTATGAAATATATTTTCAAACAACTTACTACTGATTGAACTTCAACTTGATGTTGTTGCCTTTGCTCGTATGTTGATGATCGTTGTATATCATTTAGCATTCGTGGAGTTGTATTATTTAAATCTACCGTTTGTCGATTGATAACGATGTCATTATTTGGGGTATTAGTATGACCAGTGATATCTTCAGTGTTGAGTACAGGAGAAGGTGGATCGCTTTGAACTCCTACATCAACTTTTTTCTCTTGAGAAGTTTGTGTCGCTGATAAAGATGACGTTGTCGATGATTTTTGTGCTAATAATTGTGATACCAATGTATTTAATGATTGTATATGAGCGTCATATGTATTCATTTTTTCTAAAATTTCTTCCTTAAACTGTACAACTAAGGGAGAATCAGATATGGTAGATGGTATTGCCGACAATGGTGAATCAAACCCAACACTCATTCGAGTTGATGGTTGTTGAACTGATAGCGTAGGCAAAAAGGAAGGAGAAGATAATGAATTAGACAAAGTTTTTGTTTGACAATGTTTTTGATTTGACGATGTTGCTGTACCATTTGACCAAGTTGGAGAACTTGTTTGTTTTGGAGGTTGTCGAGGTACACCGTATAAACTTCCATTAGTATTACTAGGTGAATATGTCATGATACTTAGATGTTCCTGTTCTTCGTTATTAGGATTCTCGTCTTCCTCGTCAGACGAAAATGAAGCATCAGATCGAAATCGTTCTTGTGGTGTTTTTTCCAGTAGTTCGGCTGAATGTGATCTTACAGGATAGTTTTGTTGCTGTTCATTGTATTTACGATTAATACCACAAGCATGAAGTAAAGCATGCATTTTTGGTCCGTCATATACATGTTTAAAATCAAAATCGTATGGTAAATTTGTTGTACCATCATTTGTTGATGCGGTGGGCATAATAATTTTTTTTGTTGTTGTCCATAAATGGTAATCGATATGCTGATTTGGCGTTGATACTTCATAATATTCACATTTTCCTCGTGCTAACGATGAATAGAATAATAAAATAAATGGTTGATGTTCAAAACTTCGTATTCGTTGTTTCAATGATAAATTCATACAATAACGAATACAGACAGACCAAACAAATGGATTTTGAACATCAATAACGCCAGATACCCAACTAAAATGAATAAAAATGGTTAATAATAATGAACAAATTAGATTTAGAAAGAGCTTACATGCCAACTAGTGGCAATGCACATGCTTGTGGATCATTTTCAAGTATGAGTAATATTTTATTTTTCGATGTACGATCAACACCACAATAGCCAAAATGTGGTTGATTCATGTATAATCCGGTAATGATATTTTTTAATAGAGCTGTTGGTAAGATCGTTAACGAATTAATTGGATTTAATTTAAATTCATTTTTTATTGCTAATAAATCAAACGTTAAATCAGCATTTATTGATGGTGTTAAACGTGATGTCATATGGCCATATAATAGAAAAAAATTATGCAATTCTAATTTCGATGTTGATTGACAATAATCATCAATTAGCTAAAATAAACAAATCTGCTTAATGCCTATGTAGCGCCTGAGTTTAGAATAAATTTCAAAATGTTAAAAACGTACTTTAATTCCATCATTCATAATCGAACATACAACATCATGATTTAATGTTCTATCGAATCGAACTGGAATGTAAAATTCACCTGGTAGTTGTTTATATAATAAATTTGATATTGATTTTGATGATGTATCATCTAATTGTAAACGATCAATAACAAATGTTAAACGATTTGTTTCATCATCAACAATTAATGTACCAACAAATAGTATTTGTGATCGAGGTGTTGTTCCATGCTGAAGTCGAATAGCTGAACGAAACACTTTACTTTCTAAAATAAGTTGTGGTGATAATGATACATCATAATTTAAACGTAAACAAAGTGGTTTTCCTATTGGTTTTGAGTCATACAAATCGTAACCTGTTGGTGACGGAGATGATAATGAATTCGATAATGAACCATAAACTTTATTCAGTTGAGGACGATGATTTGGAATTGAACGTACCAAATCTATCTTATCAATTTTTCGATCAATATTCCACAATGTCATGTTTTCAGATTGTAACATTTTGATAAGTATCACAATCTAGGTAACCCAATATAAAGCAAAACATTCAGTCAAAACATGATTTATATTCAGGAGCAAGACCATCATCATATAATGAAACTAGTTTTCAAGACAGTAAACTTGCATCTTTGACAAGTTTTAGAATATGTTAATTTGATCATATGCACTGAATTCACACTTAAACGTCTTTTTTTTAAAATAAGCATGTAAATGGAGTTACACAGATTTTTATAAGGAGTTCATAGAACTCTTAAGTTTTATTTGAAAGTGTTGAAGACTCTCCGACTAAAGACCACTTTCTGTATTTAACGATAAAAAATCTAGCAACACTAAGTTGAATGTTCAACACGTAAATAAAAACAAAACTACACAGATATTCTAGTCTAAATTAATCAAAGTCGTACGTTAGTTCAGAGTCATTTTTCTTTATACTTGAGTTTACATATTATGTGTTGAACAAAAAATGTAGATATATAATCAAGATAATGAATAATGTTACGTATACGCAATTTCCTTCTACATACTAACGTTTAAATTTAACTCAAGTGGAACGGTAATGTACACTACCGAAGAGATCAAAACATTCACTCTAAGTGAAGGTATGTATTATTTAATATGTGATCAACAGCCATTTCTAAATTTTCTACAATCTTTCCAGTTAAAATATTTATGTAACTCATTTCTACGGTGGGAAACTATGCAAAAGGCGCAGTATTCACAGAGATAAAAAGAGAAAAGCAAACAAACAGAAGGCGTATAACAACTCTTCAGTACCATAATTTAACATCAACATACAATACATCAGGAACTTTTCCCTTTTCCTTATATTATGCATTTTTACGCTTTTATGGTCCTAATTATTCTGAAAAAACACACAAAGAAGAAGCACTCAAGTTTAGGATGCTATATTGAAAATATATTGAAATGATGGCTGAATTCAGAATAGAACAGATGCACATTGAAACTACTAATGGGACGATATGAAATCCAACTGTAGCACTAAAAATCTTCTAGATATAAAACTATGACCCAGCACATCTGTTAAGTTCATACGCGCTGCTCCGCTCGCTGTACAATTACTTCATATGCTACAAAAACAGAGAAATGAAAAATGTCCAAAAAAAATTCTGTGTTAAAGATGTATATGTATATAGGTTGTTTTCTTTTTAAAAATTCAACAAATAGAATAACAATATGAGCAATAAGAATCGTAACATCGTAGACAAATAAAAGTAATTTTCGCAAGAAAAAATATGAATATGAACATGAAAATAACATAAAAAGCACATGTACAAAACATGGAAAATAAATACGAACTTATAAGAATATATTCGTTTCTCTAATTGTTGAAACAAAAGTCGAAACAAATAATATCAGTAAAATTTCATAACAAGTTTTCGATAAATATTAATATCATGTTCTAGATGTAGATGATGACGGCTGTTGTTGAATATAATTAGTACCAAATGAATATACTCCTTGGCCATTTATCACTGAATAGTCACGCTGAGGCTGGAGAAAGAGTAGAGAACAAATCAAAATATTTATGATAGGGTAAATTAAAATAAACCATTACTTACATTATGTGCACTGTTATTAGTATTTGTATTAGTACTATGGCAATAGGATAACATTCTTTCTTGAATAGACACAGTTGTTACAGGTATATTGTTTGGATCATAAATATAACGTTGTTGTTGTGGATATCCAGAAGATTGTGTGGATGTATTTGGCATACCTAGATAACATAACAAATATGAATTACGAGATTGACCAAGTAAAAAACATGCTGTATAAGTATGAAAAAGTCATTTATTCATCTTCTACTCATCAAATACTTCAAAACGAAACAAAAAATCAGTACTCGTTTTTTCTCAATAAAAATTCGTTTTTCATAACATTTGTCTACCTTTAACTTTGTTTATTCGCCTTCATAGCTCCCTTCATTCCAGAATTGTCGATAGATAAAACGACTTATTAAATCCAAGTATATTTTTGTTTTTTTATTTGACAAAAAAATTGAAAATTAGCCATTTACATCCGAAGACACTTTTATTATAGCTACAGCTGAAATGATCACTTCACTGGAATGCAAAATTTATTATTTTTTATATCGATCTAACATTAGGTTATTTATTGTCGTACATTAGAAAAAGATTTGTCTTTTGAGCTGATGTTCCATTTTTTTATAAACCGATTACATCAATGTCCCCGGAATCAATGGAAGGGACCGATGGGTGTAAAGGGTTAGGTGTAGGATCTTAAAACTAATGGTTAAAAAAGTTGTAAAACTACTTTAGTAGCTTAATCAACGATCAAAGATGGAACCCAATTTGAGCAACGTAAACGTTTAGATCTGTAAGTTCTTATAGTTGCTCAAAAACTTAGAACAATACATCCACTTATGAACACTAAAGCACAGAGACGCAAAAAGCCGCTATTCATTCTATATATCTTCTACACTAGTATTGTAGAGATTAAAATTATTATAATAGCTTTTCTAAAACGAATCTGTATGGAGAGAAAGATAAAAATATGATCATTTTTTTATTGTTCGTTTAACAGTAACAATATTATGAAAACGCACAAGTATTCGCGAAGAATTATCTGAACGCTTATACGATTTCTCATGAATAAACGTGACTGAATATATATTTAAAAAAAAATGGTATATCACAATATCTATTTGAAATCACCAACCATCGTATTCGATATCTTGTCCCGACATATTTAAATTATTATTGATATTGCAATTTTGACTATATGGATTAGCATTTGGGTGCATATTTGATGAATTTAATGTTTGATCAGAAGGCAATCCATTCCAATATTGTTCCGTTGGACTTTCATGATACTGACCCTAGAATGGACAAAAAAATTCAATAAATTTTTGTCATTTACGCAGGTGGCGATAGTAATAGAGACAAAAAGTTCTTTTTCGCTATTGACTTTTCTACTCTGTATTATTCTAAAATATATTCTATTCAGCTATTTGACTTTTATATAACTAATAATATGTGCTATTTCAATTGAAACTGAATTTTAGTCACAACCAAAGCCTGTCTACATCAAGCTTATTATTGAATAGCGCTACTCAAGACAATTTTTTTAATAAGATAAAAGTTCTTTTAGCGAAAAAATCTTTTTTTTGCCTTCAGATTAAATTTTGCTGGTAGATGAATAACATCGCATCATCTTATGAGTCTTCTGAAAAGATTAGATAATCTAAAATAGAAAATAAACACTTACGGGTGGCACTTGTAATGGTTGATTTGGATATCTGAAATAATAAACAAATATCATTAACAATTTTCAGTACTATCACTTTTGCGCCTTAGCCTAGAAAAGCAGCACAATCATAGGATTCATTAAAAAGTCTCAATATTCAATTTTCTTTCATTAACAATACTTATCTAAATAAATTTCTTTAAGTTTTTAGATGTGGTATTCATTTGAAAAATTTCACTTAGAAAAACGGACAAAATGCAGTTTTTTGGCATGTGTGTCAAAGTTTCTTGACGCTCTACGTAGTCACAACTGCTTTCACAATATTTACCTGAAATATGGATTTTTTAGATCCAGAGTATTTTCTGTTGATTGTGTTGTACCTTCTACTTGTAGAAATATTTCAACATCATAACTCTGTCTGGAATATAAAAAAGTTGTAGATGTATTAGTTGTTCAACTAACTCCGAGACATACTTTCGATTTGAATGTAATATAGTATGACCTTTAATTACTTGACCTTGACTAACCGTCAATGGTTTCATAAACAAACATCGAACTTGATACCAATGTGTTAGTGGCTGTGTAGGTGCTGTTGATAACCAAACTTGTGAGCTAAATCAGCTAATAATTAAAAATCTTTCTTCGACATAGTTGCGTCATCTTACAAACCTTGTGCCATCAAATGCAACGTCAAACCAAAATGCAAGTCCATGTACGACAGCAGCTGTTGTCATTTGAAATGTTAATGGAATTTTAATTTCATACAAATCCTCTTCGTTTGCTGTCAAAAAATTAACGGTATGTTTAATTGGTCTCGATAAACATACTCTAACATCAAAATTATCGACAATTGGCTGTTTGAAATATTCGTCTAATGCTGCTTCACGCAATGTTGTTAAATCAACACCATAGAAAGATTGCTGATACCAAAAATTAGCTTTCGCAACTTGTTCAGTATAGAGTGCTTCATCTGTAAATGGTGTAACATACAAGTCACCGAATGTAGGAAACATTTTTCCATTAGGTTTTAACCATTTTTTGGCGTGTAAATAGGTTTCAAGCATACGCTCATTGAATAACATATAGCCCATTGGTTCAGATATAATGATATCAACTTGTTCTGGCAATTGAATTTCTTCAATTTTTCCTGGAATAACATGAATACGATTCGATAAATGATTGTTATCAACTAATAACTAAAATAAGTAATGTCAAGTACCAGTGCTTTTTAAACAAAAATATAAAATTTACTTTGGCGTGTTGGGCCATTGAGCTTGCTTCGACAGCATAAACTTTTTTCGCTCCACCTTGAGCCGCAAAGAAGGAAAGAATACCTGAACCAGCACCAACATCAAGAACAACCTACAAATAGAATTTGTTAAACCTGGTTATGAAAATAGGCACCATTTTTTCCATTTAACGCACCTTATCTGTGAAATCAATCGAATTATCTAATATTGCTCTCTGATAGGTCGATGTTCGAATGTAATCTTGCATCATATTTTGTTGCTGAGATAAATAGCCATAAAACTACAAGAACATGAAAAAGTTGCCTAATAAAATTGATGCAATAAAAATAGCAAGTGATCATTTACTTGAAAATATTGTACGGCGGACGATTCTTCTGTTCGCTCATCAAATAAGCAAGCTTCGTCTTCTGTATCGCTTTTGATAAGTCCAATATGTTTCGAAAATACAGACACATCTAAAGTGAAACATAAAATATTCTAAATACTATTGAACAACTTTTTCTTAATTTCTTATACCATGTTCATTTGGAAATTTGATTAAATATGACAATTGTTTTGGAACACTCAAAATAATTCCTTTCGTGCCAACTCGAGCACATTCCACACTATCATGAAAAGAAAACGTTAATACCGGCGTGTTACCTAAAAGATGGGAAAAGAAATGAACTTCGGTTCAAAAATTCTTCTATAAAAAATTAATCACCTTCTTTAACACTGATTACACGTGTTTTACTATCTTCTTCCTTTTTTATAGATAATATTGATGATGCTGGTGTTTTTGATTTAGTACTAATAACACCATTTTCATTTAACGAAAAAACTTCGACTCCATGATATTCATGCATATTGAACTATGTTGATGCTCACACACACCGAGTACGGTACATAAAATATGACGTTTGTTCTTCTTTTACTAATGTCTCGGTAGACGTATATCGCACTCAAAATACATTATAGCTAGTAAAAAATATGTTCATTCGACCGATTAATATAACTTTGAGAGGCTATTAATTACCAGTTAAATTCTATTACGAGAAGACAACGTAATATAGTGATTACGTCAAAAGAGACAGTACATATGATAGACTTAAAAAGCAAGTGAGGGAAATAAAGTCACCCATCCATGAAGAAAGGAAATACATAATTGGACTATTTTAAACCACTGTCATTCCATCAACAAATCTCTCCTTGCAGCTGCTATGTTTGGACAAGCTTTTGACAAAACTCTTAATAATTATGACAAATCTTTGAGCGTAATTCTAATTAATTTGTGAACTAAAGAACCTTACCATATATCTATAACGCTACAATCAATTTAAAGGTTAAGTGGGTGTTTCTCTATCAGAATCCTCATGGATTTTGAACTAAGATCTAAAGTTACTTAGATTAGTTTTGAGATTTATAATAAGACTCAAAACTCTACAGAAGTTATTACCTAAGAGTACGCAATTCTTCACCGACTCAGATTTCAGAATTGAGGTACCCAGGTCAAAAAATCAGATCAAGATCTTACACGATCTTACAAAATCTTACGGAAAATCATAGAAAGGGATTCATCTTAAAAAATCTTATAAGGCTCAAAGATTTTAGCTGTTCAAACTGTTCCGAGAATGGCCGCCTAAAGCTCGTAAAAGACGATTTTACCCATTTTCAAGGAGCCCGTGAGTACCTAAATACCAATTTCATCACTACATTTGAATTTTTCTAACAGTGATGATCAAGAAGAGCACAAATGATTGCATATATTTTACCAAAAAATTTAATTTTTCCTCATAATTTTTTATACAAAACTTTTCCATGAAAAATTTAACTATCACAGGCCAAAATTACATTTTTTAATTCGCGAAAAATTTATTCAAAGATTAAGAGAAACAGCCTTATTTTAAAATGAACAGAAAGCGCCACTAAAGCTTGTCTGAATGCTACAAGAACAAGCTCGAAAATACTTACCGTCTAGCTCCAATACCCCGGCATCCGAGGGCTACTTTTGAGCTTTGTGAGATGTTCCTACCAGAAATGGACCGCTCCAACTCCGGAGCGCCCATTCCAGGGGTGGAGCGATTAATGAAGACCTTCGAAGCTGGAGCGGAGTCGGAGCGTCTTTTTCTTTTTAGCTCGAACCATAGCTCAATTTTTTGCTTCGCTGTTCTATGAACAATGACGAAAGAATCACTAAGAGAAAAGTCCGTCATCGACTATTCATTATACTGAATATGCCATTTTTACCCTTCTGTTAGTGGCAATGTCTGAGACAATGATTCAACGTTCATTTAGTCGACAAATTATGTAAATAATCTTTATATTATAATCCAGCTAACTTATGTAGATTGTCAATTAGTTTGTTGTTTTCTTATTCTACATATATATATCTTGAAATAAAGTGAAAATTCACGGAATATCATCAAACTTTAAAAAAATAGGAAAAAAACTTCTTTTGTCATGACGGAATCGGAGCGGTCCATCTCTCGTCCCCTCGAAAACTACATATAGTTTTCGAGGGAACATCTCACAAAGTTCAAAAGTAGCCCTCGGATGCCGGGGTATTAGAGCTAGACGGTAAGTATTTTCGAGCTTGTTCTTGTAGCATTCAGACAAGCTTTAGTGGCGCTTTCTGTTCATTTTAAAATAAGGCTGTTTCTCTTAATCTTTGAATAAATTTTTCGCGAATTAAAAAATATAATTTTGGCCAGTGATGGAGTGCTTCCACACAGGTCCGCCCACTTTATACAGAGCATCTTGCTGCAAAAATTTCACTTTGCCCGTCGTGTAGAGCATCAAAAATAGACTAAAGGTCTCGCTTACGCTTTTTTGAAAAAACGTGTGAAAAGTGGTTTACTAGACACCTGCAGTTTTTGGTGAGTTTGAAACCGAAGTCGGTGTAATATGGACGAAACATTGCATAATTATACATAAAATGGTAGCTCTTGACAAGTTGATTCTAATGGTGAAGGAATTCAGTCTCGATCTAACTTGACGTTCAAGTGGTACTCAATTTACTTGAAAAATTCCTGAAGCTTGACCTGGATTTTCTGCTAAACGCTCCGAAAATTTTTCGAGATTTTTCCAGGATAGAAACCACTTAGTAGGATCTATAACTTTGCCCATACAACTATCCTTAACACTTTTCATTTTTCACCCTCAGTTTTCCGTGTTCAGCATAAAGAATTCAATGTACTTCAAGGTTTTCTGAGGCTTCTTTGTGTTTCAGTATCACAGTTTTCTAAGAGGATTTAGCTACAATCTGATGTATAATTATGCAATGTTTCGTTCATTTACACCGACTTCGGTTTCAAACTCACCAAAAACTTGAGGTGTCCAGAAAACCACTTTCCACACGTTTTTTCAAAAAAGCGTAAGCGAGACCTTTAGGTTATTTTTGATGTTCTACACGACGGGCAAAGTGGAATTTTGCGGCTAATAGTGAATGTGATAGTGGACGGACCTGCACGGAAGAACCCGATGGTTCAATTTTTCATGAAAAAGCTTTGTATAAAAAATACGACTGAATACATATATATATGTATTACATACTTTTACTAGCTCTACAGAACGTATAGAGCCAAACCTTCCCGGTTTTCAGCCATTTATAAAGTGGGTGGACCCGTTCAGAATTACCCAATTAATATGTCAAAACACGCAATAGAACTAATATAATAAAAGTGCAAAATACTTAGAATTACAGTTAAGCGACGTGAAATTTTCTATGTATCTACAAGTTACGCACTGCGAAAAAAAAGTGCCCTTTGGTAAGGTTTAGGGCACTTTTATGTGCCCTGAGTGCGTCACAGTCAACGTGACAACAAAAACCAGGGCACTTCCGTGTGCCCTAAACCTCATGAGAAGGAAAAGATGAAGTCAGGAAGGCATTCAAAATACTAGAAGTATACTGTGGTGTTAATATGGACAGAAATTGACAAAACAAAGTGATGATTGGAAACAAAACTTCGGCACTGGCAATCTCGTTTATTTTTGTATCTGTTTAGAAAGTACAAGTGAATCTCATTTTGTTCCATTAATTAAAAAAAATCAACTACATGATGCATAAACTGGACTGCTAGCCCGCACAGTCTGCATCCAGGCGGATATTAGGTGGAAAATTGAAAGTGGACTTTTCGGTAAGTTTGATAATGATTTACATACTTCGCGACATGCTCTATTCAATCGGAAAAAGGTTTTCCTCTAGAGCTTTTGCAGGCTGGAAAAAACTACGCTCACATCCAGTTTCCGTATGCGTTCAAACTTTCAGAAATCTATTTATGATACATCCATAGAGTTAGGATAAAGATGCTTAAATGCTTCTGTATTGACTTATAGGCTTTCCAAAATCCTCGGTTTTTTTAGAGGTTTTCCTTATTTATTTTCGTTCCAAATCATGTTGAGACAAAACCAACTAAATATTTGGAATCAGCGCATAAAACTGCATCGAATGGTTGCGATTAGTAGTTTTTTCTGAGCGAAAACTTGTTGGATCTAACGAAACGCTGAAGTCGAAGCATATCATTAGTTGTACATTGTATGTATGATTTTCCTAAAAAATTCCGATGGACCCTCGAAAACTTTTTTGTGTGCAAAACAATATGATTTGGTGTTCGCTAATCCAAAAAGATTTTATTATGAAATGCATCGTTCATTTCATTTTCTTAATTTTGGTTCTGCTGAAGAGAGTGATGCGTTAACAGCGGATCGTGACGATAAATTTAATTAATGACATTGTTATCTGTTTTTTTCATGTTGTACAGTGAGTATGAATATTTATCCGATTTATTCTTCGTTTTTAATTGAGTTTGAATGATTTGAGTCAATGGTTTTTCTTGTTGTTATTGTTTAATATGTCTAATATAAAACTTGATGTTTGTTTTGTTTTCTCCTTTTTTATTTCTTCGCTGAACAATAAATTATCAAAGATTTACTAATGGTTTTATATCTGATCATTTGTCATACGATTATAGTAATTATTCAACAGTGTAACTTAATTAAAGACCATCGGTCAGATACTTTTCTCAGATGGATGAGCTGGCAACCATGTCCTTCCACTTTCTCCTTTTTTTATTTTTCAGATGAAGTTACATTAGAAAATAAACTATTGAGAAGGAAAAAAAACCTGTTCCCACCATTGATCCACTCCCTTTTTTTATGAAAACGTTTAGGGCTTTCCTTTGTCAGAACCCCCTATCCTTACGGGAGGGTCGAACGGACAGTATCAGGTATTTTTAAAAGATATACGACCAGAATCAAGGTTTTTCGTTCTCTATTTATAAAAGGAAAACGAAAAAACACACACATCGTTTTAATAAAATTTCTAAAATATAACATGGAAAAATGATAAATTTTCTCGTACGTATTCTAAGAACACCACTATATTTTCATTCACTAGGTTCATTATGCTATGCGTATATCCAGGAAGAAGGTTTTCACATTTTTGTCTGCTAGGGAAACACTGACAAGCTCTCTTCCTAAAATATAGATGAGTGGTGGATGCACACATTTAATCGACTTAGCTGTGTCTCTACAAACATCGTATACAACCTAAGAACATAGTTTTTCTCGAAATAGCGGTATTTCCACTGAGTGACTACGTCATTTCGACAAATAATTGTTAAACTGAAAGAAAAGTGACTTTACAAATTAAGATCTTTTGTATTCTTTTTTATTAGGAGTACGACAGTTCCAGCTCAGTTCTTTTGAAAAGAATGAACATCAGTGCCCGTTCTTAGAGCAAGAACGGCTAACAAGTTCTCAAGAACTTTACGAACTGGAACTGTCCCAATCGTACTTTTCATGAGAACAAAAAAACTTTTACACATTCACAAGACAAGAAATTTTCTTCAGCATCAATCTCACAGTAAAATGCCTTTTTCAAGATACTAATAGAGAAGGACAATACAACTTCTTTTTAACTAAATTTTTTTACAGACGGCAACTTGCGCTTGAGATTTAAAAGAAAAAAAAATACAACGTTTATAGCGCAGTCTGTGTGTATGAATTACATGAAGGAAAAAGAAAAATACAAAAACTAAGCGTGTTTAATGTTTTTCTTTACAAAGAAAACATGAACAACCTTGTTTTCTATTTATAATTTTAAGTATGAATTCATGCTTTTTTTATATATGATCCCATGTAGCTCGAAAACAAAAAAGAATATTAGAAAATAATAACATTTTTTTCTACGAACCAGAAGACAATGAACAAAAATAGAGCCATAAGATTAAAAAACATGAAAATTACGTTGATTTTAATCTCGTTTAAATTCATTCAAGAAAAAGAACTGAAACAGTGTGTGCAGACGGTTTACAAACAAGAAGAAAACAAAATGATAAGAAAAATGATGTTATCGAACAAGAGAAAATTTATTATTCCATTTACAATGTATTCATTAACTTCTATTGCGATAATAAACGTTCAATGGCCGCATTTATATCACCCATAGTAGCAACCAAAGCTAAAATAAAATCAACACAAATTAAAAGTGAGATGCACTATCATTCTAAAAATAAAAAACAAAAAATCTACCTTGAAGATTGGCTTCTCTGTTTCCAAAACCCATTGCAACTAATTGTTCGAGTTGAACAGCAAATCTTTGTTCTGGTGGTGTATTCTAAAATACATCAGACGTACAAAAGATGCTTGTATTATGTGAAATCGTATGGTTACAGTAAGTAAGTTTAAATTGCTAAATATAAGAAACGCAAAGAGTGGTTTTCTTGGAATAAAATTATATGCCACGATCAATCTTCTATGAAGCGATGGTCTGAAAAAGTGCTGTATTCTTGATATATTGCCTTAGATTATTGAAACACCTATCTGGCAAACAGTCTTATAAATGTACCTTACAGTGTGGTAAATTTTTTGATGAAGAAATGAAAGATCTTTTCTATCCAGTAGCTCTTTTTAGTAGAAAGTACAGAAACGTCTAACATTTTTTCTATCAACATCTGACATCGACGCAGTACGAAGCAATACATACGATTGTCTGATTTGACATCATTTGTAACATTTGTGCAAATACTCCAGCATAATTGCTTGGGTCACTAGATGGCGGTGTAGTTGTTGAAGATGGAGTCGTAGATTGTGGTAGCTGTGTAGGTGCTTGTGTTGTGGATGATGTATTTGTAGAGGGTGTTGCTAGACCTGTGGCTCCCAAACGTAATCCAGCTGGTAATCCACCGCTGAAAACAAATGAAAATATTGAACTAGACTAAAAATTGATCAACAAGACTGTAAAAACACTTACGCTTGAAAAAGACCAGGTGCAGCTGTATGCAAACGTTGTAAACCTTGAAAAAGTCAAAAGTCAATTACTCTGTACGTAAAACAACATTTGTTTCCCAACACATACCTTCTTGTATTTGAACAATAGCTTCAAGAGCTTCACGATTTTGCATTAGATTTTGTACCTCGGGATTACGCATTTGTTCCATCATCGCCGGTAATGCATTCATCATTTGTTCACGCATCTCCGGATTACTGGCAAACATTGGATTATTTAAAACCATCTGTCGAGAAACATCCGGATTAGCTGCCAATGATTCCATTAGAGGTTGCATATATGGTGCATTTAAAACGCCCTCAAGTAGACGAGGATTTTGAACTAATTGTGAAAAATAATTTTGCATCATTGGACTCATTAAGCCGCCAGTGCCGCCAGTTGGAATAGTACTGTTGTTTCCTCCAGCTGCTGACTGAGTTGCTCCGCTACTGGTAGACGGTTGTGTTGGAGTCGCTGTCGACGACGATGGAGTTTGACGAGTAGCACCCGTTGATGACGCTGTAGCAGAACGAGATGCCCATGGATTCGGCAGCGGATCGGTACTTTCAGTTCCTGATCTCGTATTGGAATTTTCTAAAGCAATAATCTAATATGAACAAACAAAAATATCCATTAAAATGAATGACTAAATACCTCCAGTTCCCGCAAATAACTGAGCGAACGGATTATTGCCGAATTGTTCTTGTGCAGCTGAATACATTGGTTCTTGCACATCTTGGTAAATCCGTTGAAGAGCATTGAAACCACCCGGAATACTCTAAATTTAAATGAAATATAGATAAAAACTCTCATTTTAAACAAAAACTTTCAATAAAGTTTTTCTCTATCATGCTGACAGACAAAAATGTGTCAGTTTTAAGGGACATACTTCTAAATTGCTTAATGCACGATCATGATTTCGCATAAGCTCTTGTAATGCTGTCGGATTTCGAGCAAATTCCATTGTTTGACGTAATAAATCCGGATTGTTTAATAGATGAGAAATTTCGGGATTACGCTAGAGCGAAATAATCAGCAAACAAAATCATATTTACCGTAAAGGCCAAGAAAAAAATACTTACATCCATTAGATCACGTATTTGAGGATTACTGAGAAGTAAGGAACGTAATAAATCAGGATTGCCCGTAATACTTTGAACCACTGGACTGTTCATCAGTCGTCTCAGGGCCTGAGGATTATTCATAATCTACAAAATATAAATGAAAAATAACTTTTATTTAGTGAAACTACTACCAATCTTACGTCTTGTTGTAGTCTTTGCTGTACATCAAGAAAATTTGCATTGGCAAAATTTAAATTTCCTAGACCTCCAGTTCCGCCACCAAATCCAAAGGGAAATCCATCGGTTAAATTAGCTCCTGCTACATTTGACGCTGCTCCTTCTGATGGCAAGGATGGAGCAGACTGCTAAAAAAGAAAAATCAACATTGATCTTAAATTTAATGTTGAAGAAATGTAGACTCAAACCTGTTGACTTGCCGCTGCAGAAGTAGCATCCTTAGGAGCACGAATCACTAAATGAATGGTAACACCATCCTTAATATCTAAACGAGAGATACAATGAGTTCAATGAAAAATTAAAAGAAAGTTACATTACCATGTTTTTGTATATCTTCGTCATCTTTTAAAATTTTTCCCGAATAAATAAGACAAATTTGTTCAATCGATGTACTAAATTCACTTGCAACAAGTTGTTTTAACTAAAATAAAAAAGATAATTCACATTAGATATGTGATATTCTCTAATAAAAATTTCAAACAAACCTCTTTGATGTTCGCGGATGATGCAATTGTTATATCTTTTTTCTCTTTTGGTGTTTTGATTGCAATTTTTAACATAGTCTGTTGACTACTATCAAATGTTGGTGGTGGGGACTCTTTGTCCGTTGTGCCAGACGATGGTCCGAGATCCATATGTTCATTGTCACTCATTATCTATCTCAGTAACAACACAGACGCAAAAGTTAGGATAGATAATAGGCGATAGAAACGGAAATAGACAGAGAAGATTAGAGAACAGTAAAAACCTATAAAAATAAACTGAATCTGAAACAAAATGAAATCAACATAAGATATGCTTCAATAGAACAGCATAGGAGATTCTTATAGATTCTATATTTCCTCCCTTTTCTGTTTTTTTCTGTTGTATCTAGAGGTATTGTACTTGGTCCTCTTTTGTTGCCTATTTTTATTAGCGTTTTCTTCGTCTCTTCCACCTAACTGTAAAATCTGTTTATTTGCTGACGATGTTTTCTTGATTGTATCTCTTTCTTCTTCTGAGCCATTTGATTTTTCTCATGTTCAAAATCGTATCAACTCTATCTCAAACTGGTCTTCTGCAAATCTCATGTTTCTAAATGCTCTTGGTGTCCGTTTTCTTTCAATCTTTTTCCTTTTACTCATAATCAACTGCATCTAAACAATCCTCACTGTCGTTTCGTCTGTTCGCTGTCTTGGTGTTCTCGTTTTGCACGATCTAAGATGGAATGAGCATACCATGGATGTTGTTCTGGCTTGCTCGTGCAAACTAGCGGCTTTGGGTCTTGTCTTTGGATTTATTCAATCAGAAGTTCACATCGAATCTTTCTTTCCTATATCCTTCTTAAAATTGTTTATTGTTGTCTTATATAATAGATCATTTTCTTTCTTCCCTTGACTGTATAACTAAACTGATTGCACGTATTATTTTTCGCAACTTTGATTATCATTCTTCTGCCTTTTTACTTGTGCCACAACTCTCTCTTCGCGAAAATACTGTAGATTTAACAATTCCTTAAAATTTATCATCGTCTGAGCCCTCTTGCTGTCTTTTAGCCTGTTCATCGTTCATACTACACTTATTTACATCTTCACCACTCTAAATATGTTTGTATTCTACCTCTTGTCAATTGTGTTTCTTCTCGTACAATTCACTCCTTTTTCTACACAACTTTCACTGATTGGAATAAACTACCAGAATCAATCATTCGTTTTTCTTCCTTCTCATCAATCAACCGAGCTCTAGCTCAATATCTTTCACAGTAAACCTTTCGTTATATTACTAGTCATCTCGTGCTCATGTTAATTTTCTTTTTACTTTTATATTTGTTCTGCTGTTTATTTCTTTTTGTCTTTTTATTGCTACCCTCTTTAGTTATTTGGCTTGACTCGCTGTTATTATAGGTAGGTCGGTGATCCTTGACGACACTCACTTTACGTGAATAAATTTATAACTTATCGAGGAAAAATACCGGTCTCAAAACATTGTCGAAATTGCCGAAAGCCAATAAGTGGTTAGTGAGTGTTTATAGAGACACTAAGCGATAGATAAAACTCTTTCCACCTAGGTACAGCTGTAGCTGACCACTAGTGACGGTATGGACAGCTATGTCAGGCGCTGTTAGAAAACTATAGGGTTACTAAACTGGAGTATCAGAAAAAATGTTCAAAAGTCTGGGGTATCAGCATCGTTCACTGATAATGGCAGCCGCAGTGCAAGGCGGAATATTCTACTTCCATTCAGTTTTTTTCCGATATACATATAAAAGGACAAAACTACTAATACTACTATGAGTCTAGCCGATGGGTCAGCAACCCCTTTTAGCAGAATTAAGTCCCTAATTACAAAAGGTCGATGCCGAAAAGTCAGAAACAGAAAACATGAAAAAATAACACAAAAATCCGATTGTATGGCTTTTGCTTTGGAAAAGAGTATGACAAGTTTAGCGACGTCGTCTAGCTCGCTTACTTCGTACTGAAAGTTCTATAAACTACATTTATTTATGCAAAAATTATGTAGAGTTGTCGGGATCAGATCGACGACAAGCTGCAAGAATCTTTCTTTGTTTTGCTTTCAATATATTATACACAAAAAAAATAATTAATCAGAGGTTGACATAATCAAAGATTTGAAGTCTTCACTACGTCTTTGACATGTGATTGGACATTCTCCTAAAGTCTACCGGAGCAAATATAATTGTTTATCAACAGAATTTCCTTTATAAAAGTTCGTCTATATATCTAATATTTGAGCTATATGATATTATATCCATTAAATATTACAAAATAATGTGAACGACAAATATGACAACAGAGGTCGTTAGGTGATGAATGATTAAATAACTTAAATTATAGTTATCGATTGAATCAGCAAAAGAATATCCAATAAAAACATCCATCTCATCAGCGGTTACAATTCATATCATATGCTTAAACAAAAGAAAGTTTTTGGGGGACTAGCTTCGCCCAGGTTGAAACTAGCTGCAGCTAGGTAAATATTCTCTTTTACCTAGTTCAAGTTAGCTCCAGAAACTTTTATTTTGCTGGGGTGAGACACCCAACCTGTTTGTTTGTTTATGTTTTTCAACAACAAAAAACGAATTTAAATGAGTGAATATTAGTCATCGTGTTTTGGACTTTTTTGACAATCCCAAGACATACAAAATGGCTATTAACAGACCACATCTGGTAACAAGAAGCTGTTGAGAGAGTTTTCCCAAACGTTTTCGATAATAATCACCATCACTGATGGTGATCACCATTATCAATGTCACACTTAAATGAAACTATTTGTTAGTAGTGTTTTTGAGACTGACTCTTATTTTCACAACCAAACTGAATTTGATTGGTATACACATAATTATATGATTCTTTCATTCTAATGGACTAGTGCAATAAAGTTGTAATCGAGAAAAAAGGATTTGAGCAAGAAACATTGAAGCAAAACCGGGTGGATATGAATGGAAGAATATCATTTTCAATATGATAATTTGAGTAAGATGGGTAGTCAAAATGAAAGTGTTCGTTAAAAAGTAATTTAACTTGATTGTGAGTGATAGACTTTGTAGAAAAATTTATTAAGAAATAGCTCGAGTCATTGTTATTACGGGTCGGGGACCCTTAATGACTCTCACTTTTCGTGAATAAATACTACTACTACTACTATTGTATTGATGATTAGATTTGTGCGAATCCGAATTTGCGATTTAATCCACACTAGTGGATCTCATATGAATAATTTTGAATAACAGCAAATGTCATACTTCACTTCAATGTAGTCGATCACACACTTTTTACTCTTCTTGGCTTAAAATTTTTCATTATAGCAATTAATTCTTCTCTCTTTCTCCTTCTTCTATATCTATATGCTATAAAAGAAGTTTCTTTCAATCACTTATTATGTAGTACGTATTCGACTTATAAAATGAAAAAATTTTGATCTTGAAACAAATAATTATACTTCAAAATAAATGTCATAATTGAAAAGAAACTCATTGTAGTTTGAATGTTGATCTACATACAAATGCAAACTAGATTGCAATTGCGCTACGCACGAGTTGCAATGTCGAGAGACACTGCGTTCTAGTTATTACTCCATGACTAGTTTCCATCTCAGTGCACGTAGAGGTTAAGAATAACAATTCCAAAAAAAAAAGATTAAACACAGAAAAGCTTTTTTTCCTTCTTAGTAAATGGCGCTGGACAAAAAAATATATGAAAAATTTCTAAGTTTTAGAAACTTTTTTCTTCCACTTCTGAAGCTTATGGCACTCCATGAGCAATCTTCAGTGTCTAGAAAACACTCTCGCGTTTACAAAACTTTTCTACGACGCGTAGTTCAGTGGATCGTTGTGTTCACATTTCGCAGAAAAAAATGACTATACACAAAACAAGCTGCGATGTCGACAGACTTTGTCTCTGCTAGTAGCTGCCAAAAGCGTTTCCACAGCGAGAAGGTTGTCACTACACCGCTTTCGATGTTAGTTTCTCTTAAGATGGTAGGAATAACCATGACTCTCATTCAATATCAATAGAACAAAGAGAAGTTTATTTTTCTTCTGAAGAACAAATGGCGCAGGACAACCAGTTACTAATGAACGTATTAAAAAGTATCTGAAAAATTTCTAAGTTTTTGACATGTTTTGTCTTTCACTTCTGGACCTTATGAGGATGAATTCAGACCGTTTTCGAAAAAAAGAACATTCAATGGTCAATCTATCGTTTTCAAAAATTCTCTACGATGCATTGTTCTCTTGATTATCGCGTTCACATTTCGCAAAAAAATAAAAAAACAAAATTCTCTGCAAAATTACATAATGTCTGTCGACATAAATATTCGTATATTTTATTACAATTTAAGAGGTCTGTGAAATAATCCTATAAGTTGGCCAGAAGTGAAAATTATTTGTCGTTTTTGGTTTTCCAAACAATTACATTTCTCTGAGTGGACAAGAAGACAATTCTTAAATCTACGGCTACTGTTTATATACTAGGTATGTATGCGACTTGTGAACTTTGAAAACATAGAAAGACATAGAAGAGAAAGAAATACAC